GATGACATGTCTGAAATGGTGCTAACACTTTCTTTTTCATTTCTGTATTATCTTCTACTGCTGGAAAACAGATGTTTTTGTGTTTGTTTTATTTTCAGTGAAACAATCATATTTTCTTCTCTGCAGTGTGTTTTATGTTCTTTCATCTGTTCCTATTAGTCTCTCTTTTTGTGGGAAATGGGGGTACTGAGGGCTGAACCCAGTACCATTGAGTCACATCCTCAGACTTTTATGATTTTAATTTTGAGACAGGGTCTTGCTATACTCTGAGACTGGCCTTGAATTTATTGGCCTCCTGCCTCACCTCCTGAATCTCTGGGATCACAGGCATGTGCCACGGTGCCCAGCTTTATTTTTGTCAAATCTCTTTCGAATTTTTTTTATTTTAATAAGGATGTTCAACCTATAATAGTTTATGTATATTGTGTATTTTTAGATACATGTATCTAACATTAAAGAATTTTGTTCAAAAAAATAAGTTTTCTAAAATTATACCTCTGTACCTAATGAAATTATTTCCTTTTTATGTATGTCCTTGGTATTTCTGTATATTCAGTGCTGCTCTTCATCCAGAAAGCACTGGCACATTTTCATCAGGCATTGTAATATTAAAATTTTTTCTTGTTGTTAAATAGCTGCCTCAAACTCTCAAAGTAACTTTGTCTACATTGGTCATTCACCTAGAACATTCTGAATTTTACCAAAATTTGCCTCAAAAAAAAAATAGCATTTACTACAGAAGCAATCTCCAAGACTCTGTTTGTCCCTATAACTGGTATCTATTCTAACTGGTCATTAATTGTGCTATTCCGATTATTAAGTATTTTTAATATCACTCCATTCATATTTATGTATTTTTATATAACTTACCTAACCATATATATTTAAATATTAAAAAAAATATTGTAGTCTATATAGGCAACTTTGGAATTTATTTTATTCATTCAATGTTCAGGCTTCAAATGGTTTTAAAAAAACTAAAGTTTTTTTTTTTCCATTAAAGTCAGGTACAGATCAAATGAGAGACACTCTTACCAACTGCTTAATGTTCTAAGTAGTGTTGGACACCTTATAAACCAGGCAGTTTCCAGGAACTCCCAACCTTATTTACTCAGTGGTAAAATGGGGATAATAGTACTTATTTAGTGGATCACTAAAAGAATAAACTGGGTTAGGGCTTGTGTTGTGACTCAGGGGTAAAGCGCTCAGCTAGCATGTGTGAGGCTCTGGGTTAAATCCTCAGTACCATGTAAAAATAAATAAAATAAAGGTATTTAATAAAAAGGAATGAGTTGCGTTAAATAAATTATTTAGTAAGTGCCTTACATATGAAGATCATCCTGAAAATGGTGACTCTCCTGATCCTGGATCCTTCCGTCAACACTTTCAACCCATTCTTGTTAACTTCATCCTAATTTTCTAGAATTTGAGTCACTGTGACAAAGGAATTTTTTAATTTATTTATTTATTCTTAAGGGATGCTGAGGATTAAAGCCAGAGCCTTGCACATATTAGGCAAGTGCTCTACCACTGAGCCACAACCCCAGCCCACAATAAAGAATTTTGCACACTTAAGCATTGGATGCACACAGGCAAGTTGCCAATTTTTCAGCTTTTTTCTTCCACTCCTCACAGTTGTGGGATGGAATGTAATTCTATACCCTCCACTTTCTTAGATTTCAATAGTCACTTAACAGACTCTAGTCTCAGTGGTCTACCTTGAGGTGGTTTTATCTTCCTGTTACTCTTTCTTAAAGAGTTTAGTGTCAGCTTGCTTTCAGGGTTGTTTGTATACTCCCAATAATGGGAAAAACAGGTATTATAAATTAAAAAAAAACTGTTTTTAAAACTCGACTCTAAGCCAGTACATGTGGTACTGATGTTACTGACCATGACCACAAAGATTGCCCAGCAGATGAATAGCAAGATGGGAGGAGCCCTCTTGAAGGTGAAGGCATTACCTTCTTTTTTATTTGTACAAGGTGAAGTTTAAGAACCTACTTTTTTTAATCTAACCATTGACTTTTGTTAATATTCTGTTCTAAATTTACTACTTTTTTTGAAAATAGTTGGAAAAGATAATGTTCATTGATATTGATTGTTTCCTCAATATTTTAAATCAGTGAAAGCAAGTGCAGGATTTGTGGAAAGCACCAATGAGGAATTAGACAAGTGAGTAAGCTTTGGCAGACATTCAGTTGGGTCACCATCTGTGCACCAAACAGAAGAGGTGGACCTGATTCATATTCATTGGGAGTTTAGACAAGTAGTTCTTAGACATGAGCTGTCCCAATTTTCTGGCATAGTTATACTCTCTACTCCCAAAATATTTTGCATGAATGATTAATTCGATTTTTTTTTTCTAGCAGAGCACAAAAGTAGCAGCTTACAATACCTGCTTTTGTGTAGTTTTTTGGGTGAGACAGTTGGTATCACAAGGCTCTAAGGATATCAGGAGATAGAGATTAAGTTGTTGGCCAAGCCACATTCTCATCTGGAGGCTTGTGGTCTTCTTATAGGCTCTTGTGGGTGTTGCAGAAGTCATTTCCTTCTGGAGGTAGCACGGAGGTCCCAATGCCTTGCTGGCTATCAGCTCCAGGTCAATCTAAGCTCTTAAAGGTTGTCCACATTTCTTTGCACAACCCCGTACCTCCCATCTTCTGACCAGCCAGGGCACATCACGTTCTTGCTGCTAGAGGCCTGTAAGTATAGAATCTTGACTTCTTCAGGCCTTTCTATGTAACATACCACTAATGGAGATGTGCATCTGTATTTCCACACTTCCCCTTTTTCTCCTTGAACCATTTCCCCCCTCATCCTTAGAGTAGAAATCATAAAACACCTTAAAATGAGTGTGTAGCCCTTGTGTATTTGATATGTGGTCCTCACAGATTTCCCACTGTCACCACCACAATAGATGTCTGTGTTCTATTAGAGAATAATTCCAGAGTGTTCTTTAGGGAAAATCCATCTTCATTTGCACAGATTACATCATTTTCCCCAGGCATTCTCCATTTCAACAAAGTATTTTGTATGCATTTTTCTTTGAAATTAGAAAATAATGTTGCAATAATAGGAAGACAGTGTCACCATGCACTGAGTGGACATTTAGAAGCATTTTCTAGGTGTAAATACTGGCAGTGCAGCAGAGAAAAGAGAACCAAATGCCAATGGTAAATCACGGAGGTTAAATCCTGATAAGAGGCAGACACATAAGGATAGCACACAATGTCAGGTGATTAGATGTGCTCACTCTGAAGTGAACTGTAAAGGGATAGAAACTTGGGATATCTTATGATTTTAGTGGACATGTTGAAGTTGTCACAATAGCTGTCACTCTTGCAAAGCAAGTTGCTCCTGCAGATGATTATCTGGATGAGCCATTGCTTAAGACACAGAGACCAAAGCAGGAATCTCTAGGAACTTGGTCACATTTCCCAGCAGATGAAACTACAGTAGTCATGCAGGTTGACAACATGAATAATTTGTAGTAATGTTAACAGTTCTTATTGATGTGTACTCAAAAGCCCTTATAAGGTGATGAAGATATCAGAAGAGAGTGATACCTTGATCATTATAGATATGTGAAAGGGTTGATACTTAATTGGATTCTTTGGCTACTGGTGTGTGTATGTATGTATGTATAATGGACATATACACACATATAGGTTTTGTCATATATTAATTCAGAATCCAAATGATTCTGAAATTTTAAGATTCCAGCTCATTTATTTATCAGCAAACAGGTGGTAATCTCAATATATCTTCAAGGAACCAGGAGAGGAGCTTGCGGATGGATTGATGAGCTGTTTGCCAGGTCAGCCTTGGGGTTCATGTACCAACTCTACATCAATAGTTTTCCACAAGTGGAGATAGTGCCCCCAGAGACCATTCATTCATGACTGAAAACACTTTTTTGTTGCCACACTGAGATGGCGGTGTGCTGGCATGTAGTCCAGCAGGTGGAGACAAGAAATGCTGCAAAACATCTCACTGTGCATGACACAACCACACCCCCCCACATCACCAAGAGTTGTCTGTCTCAAATTTCAATAGTCCTGTTGTTGAGAACCATAGACTAAATAAATAAATAAATGAAAGAGACCCTGGACTACTCTGACGTTGGAGGCTGTGATTGAAACTCTCTTGAAAGTTACAGTGTTGAAAGGTAAACCCTGACATTATCAAAAATAGAAGAGGCCAGTTTGTCTCAAGTGGGGGTTGATTTACATCCTTGTAGGTGCCTTGAGTTGCTGGTTTAGAAACATAACCACGTGTGCCACAATCTTTTGTGATCTACTGAGATGAAGTGGAGGATGGTCAGCTTCAGGCCTTGCTTGACCATGAAATACCCCAGCTCATGAGCTACTTAGAAAATCAGTACACACATAGGTGAGCACATAAATTGTCCAGTTCAGATGATGTAAGCTGTACTGAGAAAAATGTGTTCTCAGGGAGAGAAAAAAAAAACAACAAAATGACATGTGAAGAGATAGAAAGGGCTTGATGCACACAGTGGGCTTCAGAGTTTCACACTAAGTCAGGGTGCACAGAAGTCTTGTGGCAGCATCTTTCCCTTGTTTCTTTATATGGAGCACTTTGTGGAGAACTCTTCATCCTAAGAGGTTCATAGATTTCTGTGAACAACAACATTTCTGTGGATTGCAGGTATTACTCCTTTGATCCCAGAGTTTCTAAGTCTCTGTACTGGGGCTCCCTCTCCCCTGTCTCCTCAACCTTTCTGTTTGTGGGGCTTGATGCCCAGCAGAGTCAGCAGGAGTAGTCCTGAGTTTGAGAGGAAAGACCCCTTCACCTAGGATAAGGGTGGCTCTGAAAAGACTCCTCCTCCTTTGCTGCTCTGTTTGGTAATGTGCAACCAAGACTGTAAACTGGGCTTTTGGGAAGGTGGATACTGTCTAGAGGCTTTTAAACAGCTCATAAGTGTGTGATGTTCTCTTGCCCTGAATTATTTGGAGATGAGATTGAGTAAACATCTTATCCTAATTTTTCTTCAAGTATCAAGCTAACTTTCATTGTGGTGAAGATATGAATAAACACCAGGATTTTTGTTGAAAAAAATAATAAACTTGGAAATCCATTTCTAGGAACTGTGATCAACATGGTGTTAACCACAGAGCAATGGTAAGACAGTTTTGTTTTTAAATCTATGACATTCTCAGTTCACCTTGGCCAAATCACTTAATCCCAGTAACTTCATCTTAGAAGCATTTTCTGATTCTTGACAACTGATTTGATCTATATATTTTTCACACTTGGCCAGGGTCACTGCATTTTGATTTAGAAATTGTGACTGATCTTGTGGTTAACATTCTTAATCAAGCTTTTGTGTCTGTGACAAAATAAAGATTAACTTTTTTGTGGCCCTAAAATGACTTCAGGTATGAATATGAACGTAGCAAATAGGCTGAGGTTGTAGCTCAGTGATAGAGCACTTGCCTAGCACACATGGGGCACTGGTTTTATCCTCAGCACCACATAAAAATGAATAAATAAAATAAAGGTATTTTTGTCCTTCTATAGGAGACAATATAGAAAAACAGTATCTCTTATGACATGGAGATGGACTATGATGCATTACAAGGTAATATTAATATTGAATAAGCTAAAAATACAGAGTTTTATATTGTTATCTCTACTATCCATGAACATCTGCAATAATTTAGATCAGTCATTTATGTTAGCTTGATGTTCCAAGTGTTATCCCATGGTAACTGAACCATCCTCAGCAGAGTTTTGTATCCATTGTTTATGTGAAGCCACATGCTTTCTCTAGAACCACACAGGTTGCTCTTTGCATTTAAAAGGATTCTTTGAATAGAGCTAGGAAACAATGTAGGAGAACTATATTTTCTTGTACTCTTCTAAACAAAGTGGTATTTGGACAGGGGGAAGAGATTAGTTTCAAATATACCAGAGGGTATGCTAAGACATAATTTGCTTTAATTATTGATTTAGGTTTGCAATTTGTGCCTGTCTTACTAAAAATGACAAAGCATTTAAAATTTTTAAAAAGGTAAAATCCATGGCCAACAGTGATGAATATACTAGAGGAGCTAGGCCCATAATTAAACATGAGCCAAGGCAAATGTTCTTTTTTGAAGTTAGAATTTGGTTTATATTAATTTTCTAGAAATGTAAAAGATTAATTTGGAAGAAAAGAATGGAACATTGTTATGAAACTTTCTGAATGTTCCCTATAAATGAAATGTGTACAAATGTCATTCTTGATATTATTAAACTTAAAATGGTATAATTCAATAAAGGTATTCATGTTTAAGTCATTGAATTGAGTACCTTAAATATATATTTTATGATTAAATTGTTGTTTTCTAAGACAAATAAAAATATTACTGAAATTAGGGCACTATCTCATTACATTAGCCTATTAATCTTTTATAAATTGGGTGAAAGCAAGTTGGGCATGGGTATTATACTATGACAGGACTGGGAGCAGCTGTGCTGCTCATGGATGTCCCTGAAATGAAGAACATCCTTC